CCTAGTATATCTATTAACATTAGAAGGAAATGTGACAAAAATCACACAACGTTGGGTTTTTGGACGTTTGTAATTTCATTTCTTGAGTAGGTAGACCGTGTATTCTAGGGAAAAGTACCGTTAACAAGGATTGTCAACCAAAAGGTTGTTATGAATAATTGGAAATCCAATCATTGCGCTTAACTAAAAAATGCTTTATAGATCTATAAGGCATAGCCCTAAGGTAGGCCTAATAACATAATATATACAAACCAGTTCTTTTAATCAACTCCATAGCCTTAACATTTTCACTCTTACCATTAAGTAAAAATAGTTACAGATTTTTAATTGATTTTAGAAACAAAAAACAGTGTACAGCTTAGTTTTATAATATTTTCCTTGGTTTAATTTAATCAGTGGTGTAACAAAACACAAATAAATTTATCAAGCGCAATAAAGTAAACAAGTGCTCGCCTCGTGGCCGAAAACTCGATTAAAAGTATGTATTGTGCAATCTTCTCTATTTTCACCCCACACTGTAAATAAAAAATGTGATTGGAATTTCTTCCACTTGTTTTGATTTTCTGTTTATATTTTGTTATATAGTATTATATTGTATATAGTTAGGTACACACATACCACAGATTTAAGAACACAAAAATCAACGGCGTACAATTTAGTTATTTATCATATTCTTTAGTTTTAGGCAAAGGTGTAGCAAATAACAATTACTAAATTTACCTAAATAATATCTATAATATTGAAACATGACAGGGTTTATTTATTTGCCGTAACAGCTGTAAACACTACGCGTGTGTGACACAAATTCAGAATTTGGATAATAATGACATGCATAGGGTTGACTTATTTATACTATGTGTAATGCTATAGTCATTGATACGTTCATTTAATTGGTAAGAGGATGACAGACTATTTAAATAGGTATACATGGTAAAATGGTAGATGTTCTAATTTATTTTTTAGATCATTCTTTTAAATTGTAAGTATGTTTTAGTGCAATATAGTTTGTTTTAACTAACAGCTGGTTGAATATAAAAATATTCTAATTAACTATCTGGTTTGTTTATTATTCTGTGATTTTGACATTGATTATAGGAAATGAGAAAGATTCTATAACCACTGATGTATACAAATTGAGGCTCTGCCCCCGAGTCTTCAGAGGAAAGTTTATGCAAATTATTTTTCTGTTTGACTTTTTGAGGAAAGAATAGGAAAATAACAATATTTACATGTTTTAATTCATCTTGGCAGCTTTTTGTTTACAATAAATGTTTAACCGCTTAAACTTTGCTTGGATTAGAAATGGAAATATTAACATAACTTCAGTTTTAGTTGACTACTCACTTCCTGTACGTAGGACGGGCCAACAGCCCATTTATATTATAAAAAAAGTCAATTTGAAGTGCACACTATGTCAAGTTAATCCAACACATGTTAAGCAGTTCAAATTTATAATAAATCCAAATGCATACAAAATATCTATACATTTTAATTTTCATACTGTTTCCATGAAAATATATCAATAACATTATTTTCATAACTTAAACTTTTTTTATAGAAAGCAGAGCCTGAGTTAACAGCATCGGTTATAGAATTTTTTTTTTATTTCTATAATCAAATCATTGACATAGTCTATATATATAAAAGGCAAAGCCCTCACTGACTGACTGACTGACTCACTCACTCATTCATTCATCACTAATTCTCCCACTTCCCATTTACCTAGGAGGCTGAAATTTGGTACACTGATTCTTTAGGCATTAAATAGGAAAACTAAGTGGTTTTTATTCTGATCGGACTCTCGGGCTCCGCCCCAGTGGCTCTGGAGTTTCCCATGTTAATCTAATGCGTACTCACATTTAAATGGAATTAATGAATCATAACAGCTGTTTCAATTAAACAAGTTGGTTCTGTTCTATGACGTTCAATAGCATTAAAGGTACAAGGATAACCAACAGAGTGCAGCACTATTATTTTTTTTTAATATTTGACAACAGCTAATTTGAAACCAAAAGGTGAGTGTGCGTAGCGAACGAACTTCAACCCGGAGGCGAGGTAGCGTAGCGAACTAGCTAACCTGAAGGCAAGTGAGCGCAGCGAACGAGCTCCAACCAAAAAGGTGAGTGAGCGTAGCGAACGAACTTCAACCAGGACGTGATTGAGCCATGCGAACGAGCTCACATATGAAGTTAAACGGGGCAAAGCCCGCGGGTACAGCTAGTTTTAGAATAAATAAACCTACACATAGTTGTGTAAAAAATATTATATTTAACTTCTTTGGATCAGCTGTCTGAAATTGTGAAATATGCAATTTGGCAGTTCAAGTTTGTTTACATTAAAATGTCAAACGAAAACTAAACATTGTGACTATTCTCTTTGCAGCCATGGAGACCAATCAATATTTACTTTTAAAATTTAAAATCCTCACCTCAGAACTTTTATAAGCATCTAGACTGCCAGTGCAACTCCTAGGAACGGCCGATCGGTAGGATCGTGGATCAGATCGAAAAACCCCCCACCACCGCTCAGTGCCGATGGCGTGACGTCAACCATTACTGCAACGATACTGAACCGAACTGAGTCATGAGCCTTTGTGGTGTAGTGGATAGCGTGTCGGGCTGATAATCTGATGGTGCCGGGTTCGAATCCCACTGGGAGCACTAACTTTTTGTCAACAATTTTTTTCATATCAGCAAGTTTGGTTGGTTTGGTTAGGTTATGACAGTTTAATTTTATAATTAAAAGATTGTAAAATTGAATTTGAGACATTTTTAATTTTTATTTTTAGAACAGAGCTATTTTTCGATTAGTAAACCTTCATTCGAGTTTATCATTATCAGCAAGTTTGGTTAGTTTGGTTAGGTTTGATAGTTTAATTATATTTAATTCAAATTTAATCTACAAATTATACGTTTTGACAGCAACAGTGATACAGATAACAATTTTCCGCGAACAGTTAGATAAGCTATGCTGATGCGCCGGTATGATCTGATCCACGATCCTCCGTTCCTCGGACTTGCACTGGCAGTCTAGACGCTAGTAGAACTTTTAAAGCTAAAGGGGCAAAGCCCACAGTCAGTATTGAAGTGTGAGTGTGGTTCTATTATTACCATTCTTGGTATGGTAGGTATAATGTAAGCTTTTGTAAAATGTAAGCCCATTTGGTTAAGTAGTTTTTACGCCTATTAGTAACAGAAATACACCATTAGATTTGTATATAATAGTATAGATAGATGGATATAGATAGTGAGTTTTTCCTCCTTTCTGAAAAATTTTCCTTTAATGTAATTTTTATTAACCCTAGCAGTGGCCAATGTTAGAAGTGGGGAATGGCCAACCCATTTGGGCGATTTTGCAGACCTTTTTTTGAAAATTCGTAAAAATTCAACCGTACAAGTAAACTTGGCCGACCTCATATTCATTTTGTTCGGGAAGAATAGGAGAATCTAGAAATAGTAATATAATAATGATTTAGATAGTTTATTTTTTCGGTAAAGTAAAAAAAATAAAAAGAAATTGATTTTTTTTTAATTTCAAAAGCGGCCTTGGTATTTTTTTTTCTACGGACTTTTTAATGGTAAATTCATTTATACATTTTGTAGACAATCTAATTCCCTACATAGAAAAATATAACATGTTAGAAAATATTTTTTTATAAGTCTTTGGGGCGAAATATAATAACAAACGGAGAACCGAAAAAATTGAAAACCGTACAGTGTTAGTTTGTGTTGTAAAAAGTTATATAATATATGTGTATACTAATAATGATATATACATGTTTGTAAAGCTAATGAAGTAAGGAATCAAAAAAGTTATAAAGTTTATGGTAAAAATATTTTTTAATTATAAATTAAATAATGTTTTTGTATTTTAGCGATTTTGTGAGAAAAAAAAACATAGTATTTAGTATAAAACTTTTGTACCAAATGTTTTTACTTCAAACCAACATAAACATCTTGTAGTGTATTCAATTACCTACATAAAATTTTATAACATGTTGGGTAAACATTTTTGTTTTTTTACGTGCTAGGGACATAATAATATAAATAAACGGAAAACCTCAAAATACAACCAAAAGAAATATACAACCTTTTATAAACACAATTTGACACTATTCAGTAAATATTCATGCGTAATAAAATACATGAAGATTACTGTTATATACACATACACATTTCCCAAATAATACGAAATAATAAAGAGTTTAGTAATCAATCGTGGATATAACGAGAGCGAAAACTCACCGGCAACAACACGCAATCGCGTCGCAATGGCTAATACAAGGCACTTTGTGTATGAGATCTTGACAGTAGTGACACACTTTCGTCGTCTTAGTGAGAAACCGAAAATAACCCTGAGCGCAGGGCTGCCACTATCACAAGCTACATTTCTTCCTCTTCAAAATGACATATTGTATGACTAGTAATAATAACTTACACTGTATGTAATTTGTATTTTCCATACAGTCACCTGACGACGGTTGGCCATTTTATAAATTTCGAAAACAGCTGTTTTCATAAAATCATAGAAAAAACATAATCAATATTTAGTTCTAAAATATCACTACCGCAATGAAGATAAAATCAATGGCTATCCAGTGGTACCACCCGCAACATCCCAAGACGATAATTACCTGAGCAGGGTAATGCCAAACAAGACGTGTTTTGCCAGTTCCCAAGGGTCGGCTGCTAAAGTCGTGTCGCGCCAAAAATTCATTTGATTTCTAATTGTCGTGACATTGTTATATACCTGCTACAGGGTTTGTTTATGTAATAAAACGAAAGTCCAGAATGTGATCTTTCGAATGGTATATATATTATTCTCATCTGAGTTGATTATAAGTGTTTTTTTTTACGTTAAAATAATTTTGGCCCATACCGTCACCAGACAACGGCTGGCCATTCTGAGCATCAACGTCAAACCGTCACCAGACGACGGTTGGCCACTGCTAGGGTTAAAACAAGAATTATAAATTAAGTAATCTTAAATATTTTCAATAGGACTGGAGCGATGGAAGTTTGTGTGATTCCTTACATCTACCTTTAGTCAATGAGTTCATCCCGACTGATTTTAATATTCTACCCAGAGACGAGAATGTAAGTATTATTTTATTTTTTCTATCAGGCTTTTTGTAGTATTTATGATAATGTATTAAATTTTCTCAGTGCTTGATTAGTTCAAATCATAAATTAATAAAACGATTAATATAATACATATATTTTAGGGGTCTGCGGGTCTCCGAATTTTTCGGGTCGGGCCAGCGGAAGGTCCCTGTGAGACCGGGTCGGGTCAGAGATTTGTTCCGGCCCAGGTCGGGTCAAAAAAAGAATATTAATTTATTTTCAAAGAAACACTCTTATATTATATCTATTATTGCAGAGGAATTAAAATGTTCAAATGAATGAGAATTAAAATAATAAGTTTGCTCACGCAGGGCCGTCCGTAGGGGGGGGGGGCAACTGAGGCAAGCTGCCCCGGGCGTTGTGGCTGAGGGGGTGCCGCGCTGCGGCTATTATTGTATTAACATAGTATTAAAATATGTGAATGCAACTATTTACTACTGGGGGGGGGGGGAGGAGGCGCCACGACCACGTTTGCTCTGGGCGCCGCCAACCCTAATGAATGCCCTGTGCTCACGTTTAAGAATAAAGACACAACAGAGCAATTCAGCACTGCCACTGGCCAGAGCCAGTCATCTACTGACAAAAGCTGTGATGCAACAGTGCAAAGAAAACAAAGCCAAAAGAAAGACTATTTATCCAGAGGTACTAGTTTAATTATTTATTGTTTATTCCATACCTAATTAAAAATATGTTTTAGTATTTTACATAATAAATTATAAAGAAAAGAAATATCTGATATAGTGTACAGATCTGTATCTTGTTCTTTTATTTTCCTATTGTCCTTTTTGTCATTGAGTAACAAGACTACTTCTGATTGTCTGGTTCGGCATCAGCAAGTAATTGTCAACAAAGAGGTTAGGCCTAAATGTTTTATAATTTTAGGAAAGTTTCATAACAGTAAAATTACTTTTTTCTTAAGTTAGATGGAGTTTCAAAAAACATATCTCCAGTGTTGTGAAGTAGCGCGCTACTTTTTTTGCAGCGTTAGCTGTAGCTACGCTACTTTTAAGATTTTGTAGCTTTAGCTGTAGCTAGCTACATTTTTAAAGTAGTTGTAGCGGATCTTTAGCTACTTTTCTCGCTACATTAACATTGTTTGAGATAGTGATTTTTATCATAACCTCAACCTTACGTGAAACAACCTCTTTCAAACTGAGATTTTCAAAAAAATTAAGCCTACTTTCTTGGCTTCATACAGCTGGTTGCAGCCGTTTCATTCCCTATTACAACGTTGTGTGGACATGGAGGCCATTAAATGAGTGTTATCCACATTTTTGGCTCTCATTTCCTTAATTTACTACTCTATGATTACTGTCAGATAAAATAAAATCGCTAGTTGCAGACGATGTTTAAACGTTACCACGTTACCGGTGACAAGAGAAGCTATAGAATGCTTGCAAGTGATTGACAGGGAAATTAGTAATCAATTTAGTTTCTTTATTATATTGGTAGTGTTTCAATTTGGGTTTTAATGGAAACCAACGCTAAACCTTAAAATAATGAGAAAGCTGGTCTAGCTTCAGCTGTTGATTGTGGTTCATCATCACAAGCCCTTCCTTGGTTAGATTATGAAGATTGTTCAAAGGTTTACTAAATTAACAAAGAGGAAATTACCTGATGAGATTTAAGATATGCCTAGACTACATGATAATTGTAACGAAAAAATCTCCATATAACATGAAACTTAATTTTTGCCATATAATAAGTTTTTTTGATTGAAAAAATAGCATAGTTTACTCCTGCTAACAGCTCTTGTATAGGACTATTCCTAGGCTATGCTATGGGTTAAGACGAATACCAAGTTCCAAGTTCAATTATTAGGAATATATCTGTTTAGGCCTTTGCAAGAACAAGCCTACTATAGCCAACTTGTTACATAGCCAAGTATGTCTACATGTTATTTTTACTTTACAAATTTCAACATGTTTAAATCAAAAGCCGATTTCAGGATAACTTAAGTTGCTGAATACTGTTTTCTGTACCAACTAGGTTGAAGCACAATTTTCCCTATGCATAATGACAATAAAGGACGATTTCTTGACATTGAAAAGTGTTATTCATAGAACAAGTAACTTATCACTATGGTTAAAAGTTATAGCAATGTCGTTTTTAACATAAAAAGTAAAGAAAGGCATTAACTCCAATTTTAGTAGGCTAGGCTCTGTAACACAAAAAAGTATTTTTAAATAATCGTTTTACAGTTTTATTGGTCTTAATTGTTGATATAAGACATCTATAAATGAATAAATGAATGTTAAAGAAATAAAATGCGCTTTTAAAATATAGTTTTGTTGTATGTCCTTTGAACTTAATGAAATTTACATATAAGATGCTTAAAAATAATGCAATATTTAAAAATAAGTACTAAATATGATGGGACACCCAACTATTTGGTTCTGTTGTTGTAATTTTAGGTTTATAATGCCAACAAATTAAATACAATCTAGGAATAATTTGTTTTCCAAGTAATGTTAGATACAATACTGTCATTTTTTGTTTAAATGTTTATTCAATAAAAATATAGTTGCAATTGATTTTACATTTACCTAATGTGCGTGGAATAAAAAGTAACGTCTTTGGAAAAGTAGCTAAAATTGTAGCTGTAGCTACATTTCATTGTAGCTGTAGTTGTAGCTAGCTACTTTTTCGGATCTGTAGCTGTCGCTGTAGCTAAGCTACTTTTTCGGAAATGTAGCAGTAGTTGTAGCTAGCTACATTTTAAATGTAGCTTCCCCAACACTGGAAGATCAAATAAAATATTTACAAGACACAAACTACCATGAATTAATTTCTGAAAATAATCTGTAACTGTTTTATTATGTTTTTTAATAAAGAAATATATATATTTGTCTCTACTTCCTTGTTTGGTTATACAATTTTGTCAGCAATTTGAGCAACCAGTTGGTGTAAGAGGGGAGGGGGAGGGTCTATGACCTTGAGTGCCCCCTGGCCTGGCTGGTGAGAGTGATTCGTGGTTTTTTGTTTACATCCTACTACCATTCCTTCCGAGAAAAAGACCCTGCAGTTTCAAAAACATTGACTTACAGTTTAAAAACATGTACTTGTGTTGCTAATTAGGGCGTTAGTGGCTCTGCTTATGTTGCCAAGTTGGCATTTAATTTTCTTTTCTCTTGATTTAATATAACCTTCTATGTAGTAGTTAAGAGTTCCTTTTTGTGTACCTAATTAATAGTGATATTGTTTGACTTTAGTTTATGGATTTTTAATTCTTTTCATTTATTAGCTAACAAAATCAGTTGTTTTTAGATTTTAATCTCTTGCAGTAGGTCTATCTATACACTACTGTATGACATGACATGCAATTTTTTCAGTCCTTACTTACTAATTAATTATATCATAAGCAATGTGTGTGTTAATTACTGTTTTTGAGTTTTATAGTAAATCAGTTTACACAACATATTTTCTTCAATGAGTTTTCCACTTGTCATGTTGCTTAGTCTATTACTATTTAGGCCCTATTAAAAATAATTCTTATGTAAAGTTGTAGGCCTACTAATGCCAATAACAGATAAATTATGTATTTATCATGATGTAACTAATAATGCTATTGCAAGTGTGAGGTTTTTATACTTAAGAGAAGTGATGGGTCGGTACTTCATGTCAAATGTCGGTTCTGCCGGTTCTTGGCAACGAACCGGAACCGAGAACCGATGGTGAAATGTTGGTACCGGTACCTTTGGTACCAATAATACCGGAAAATAACTGTTATTGCTGCGATCGTGCAAAACAACGATGACGTTTCCGTGACCGCGGGAGATGATTTTGCCCCAATCGCGATCACGGATGACAACAATGACGTTACCGCGATCCTGGGAGACGACGGTGACGTTTCTATGGCCACAAGAGATGCTCATGATTATGCCGCAATCGTGGACGATGACGAAGATGTTTCTGTGACCGCGGGAATTCATGATATTGTCTACAAGGCCGCAGGAGATGTTCATGATTTTGCCGCAATCACGGGAGACGATGATGACGTTTCCGTGACTGCGGGAGTCAATGATGATGTTTACAGGGCCGCGGATGATGATTTGGCTGCCATCGCAATCGCGGATGACGACGATTATGTTACTACGATCCCGGAAGACGACGATGACATCTACATGGCTGCAAGAGATGTTCATGATTACAGTGTTGGGAAGTAGCGCGCTACAAGTAGCGACGCTACAGTAGCTTAGCTGTAGCTACGCTACTTTTAAGATTTTGTAGCTTTAGCTTTAACTAGCTACATCTTTAAAGTAGTAGTAACGGAATTTTAGCTACTTTTCTCACTACATTATCAATTGAGATAGTGATATTTCTCACAACCTTTTTCAAACTGAGATTTTCAAGAAAATTAGGCCTACTTTCTTGGCTTCATACAGCTGGTCACAGTCGTTTCATTACCTATTACAACGTTGCGTGGACATGGAGGCCATTATCTGAGTGTTATCCACATTTTTGGCTCTCATTTCCTTCATTTGCTACTCTATGATTACTGTCAGATAAAATAAAATCGTTAGATGCAGACGACGTTTAAACGTTACCGGTGGCAAGAGAAGCTATTGAATGCTTGCAAGTGATTGACAGGGAAATTATTAATCAATTTGATTTCTTTTTTGTATCAATTTAGTTTAAGCTTGGGTTTTACTGGAAACCAACGCTAAACCTTAAAATAATGAAAAAGCTGGTCTATCAACCTTTGGCTTCAGCTGTTGATTGTGGTTCAAATCAAATCATTTATTGCCGTAAAACATACAAAACATACGTATGGCATCGTCATATTTTACAATAAATTTCTATTTACAAAACTGGACACCTTAAATACTGTAAGTGATAAATTCATCATCATCATACACACTTAATTCTATCAAAAGAGATTTCAAATGCACTTTGAATTTTTTATCATCTAAGCATTTTACATTATGTGGCAGCAAATTAAAGATTTTCTTACCTAATTCAAAAGTAGATTTAATGGTAGTCTGATAATTACATTGGTGAATTCTGATAAAATGGCTCTGTCTGGTAAAGTATGAATGTACTGAATTGTTGGCAGGAATATTATTAAGATTTTCTTTAATGTACAACAAAGAATCCAGTAAGTATAATGAAGGTACAGTTAGCACACCAAGTTTTCTAAACAAAGGTTTACAGTGAGTTTTTCTTATTACTTTACAAATGATTCTTAAAGCTTTCTTCTGCAAAATCAGTAATTTTTTAACGCTGCTGTCACATCCCCACACTACAATTCCATACGATAGGTGACTCTGAATGTGAGCAAAGTATATTGACATCAGAACATCAAAATCAACCTGAGACGTCTAATCATAAAAATACCTTTACACACTTTTTTGCACACACTGACAACATGATTATTCCATTTAATGTTAGGTTGCAGAACTATACCTAGAAATTTAACCTCTTCAGGTGTGTAGTGAGAACAAGAACTTAGGTTAAATTTGAGGATTTGAGTTTTCTTCTTGTTGAGACACAGAAAATTTGCAGCCGTCCAGTCCTCAACAGTCATGTTGATATTATTGAGAATCTGATTCGCTAAATCATCATTTGAGCAACTTATCTGAACTGCAAGGTCATCAGCGTACATGTATGGCGATACACAAACATTACTTAAAGCTACTGGTAAATCATTAACATATATTGTAAACATAGTTGGACCAAAAATTGAACCTTGAGGAACACCTGTGTCAACCTTTAAATACTGAGAGGAACTAGCCCATATTCATCATCACAAGCCCTTCCTTGGTTAGATTACAAAGATTTTTCAAAGGTTTACTAAATGAACGAAGAGGAAATTCCCTGATAAGATTTAATATATGCCTAGAATACATAATAATTGTAACAAAAAAATCTCCATAGCATGAAATGTGCATTGAAAAAGTAGCATACAGTAGTTTGCTCCTGCTAACAGCTCTTGACAAGGACTATTCCTAGGCTATGCTATTGGATTAATACGAATACCAAGTTCAATTAATAGGAATATATCTGTTTAGTCCTTGTAAGAACAAGCCTACTATAGCCAACTTGTTACAAAGCCAAGTACGCCTAAATGTTATTTTTACTTAACAATTTTCAACATGTTTAAATTAAAAGCCGATTTCAGGATAAGTTGCCGAATACTGTTTTCTGCACCAACGTTTGTTGAAGCACAATTTGACCTATGCTTAATGACAAAGGACGATTTCTTGACATTGAAAAGTGTTATTCATAGAACAAGTAACATATTACTATGGTTAAAGTTAAAAGTTATAGCAATGTCGTTTTTAACATTACAAATAAAGAAAGGCAATTAACTCCAATTTCAGTAGGCTAGGCTCTGTAACACAAAAAAATATTTTTAAATAATCGTTTTACAGTTTTATTGTTTTTAATAGTTGATAAAAGACATCTATAAATGAATGTATATTAAAGAAATAAAATGGGTTTTAAAATATAGTTTGGTTGTATGTCCTCTGAAAATTTACATGTAAGATGCTTAAAAATAATGCAATATTTAAAAATAAGTACTAAATATGATGGAACACCCAACTAACTTATTTTGGTTCTGTTGTTGTAATGTTAGGTTTATATAGTTGCAATTAATTTTACATTTACCTAATGTGCGTGGAATAAAAGTAACGTCGTTGGAAAAGTAGCTAAAATTGTAGCTATAGCTACATTTCATTGTAGCTGTAGTTGTAGCTAGCTACTTTCTCGGAACTGTAGCTGTAGCTAAGCTACTTTTTTGGAAATGTAGCAGTAGTTGTAGCTAGCTACATTTTAAAAGTAGCTTCCCCAACACTGCATGATTATGCCGCGATTGTGGACGACGACGAAGACGTTTCCGTGACTGCGGGATTCAATGATGATGTTTGCATGGCCGCAGAAGATGATTTTGCCGCGATCGCAATATTGGATGATGACAATGACTTTACCGCAATCCCGGGAGACTTAAATAACAACAACAATAAATAATTGTAGCAATAAGTAACAAATAAGAGTGACTAAGAATAACACATATAAATAATATAGGAAGCAAACCATGAGACACACGATAACTGATAACTGATGAAGGTGAGAGAAATAAATAACAGTAACCATTATGTGAGACTAAAGATTTTTTATAAGAGGCTAGGCTCGAGTTAAAAATATCAATGTTGTTCGATATTGAATTATTTAGTCTCATCATCGTGTTGATGGGTGATTGAGCCCCTAGATATCTGAGGAATTTGATATTTATTTGCTCAATCATCTCGACAAGATAGGTTTGATGAGGATACCACACAGTTGCTCCAAACTCATGTTTAGGCCGTACTAGGGTGCAATAATAAAGTTTGAGGCTTTAAATGTTTGTTATAAAACTTCCTGATCTAAATATGATGCCAAGAATTTGATACACTGATCTACAAGACTCGATTACATGATTAGAAAAAGACAACTTGTTATCAATTGTAACACCAAAATCTGTGACACTACTGCGACTACCCAGTAAATCACCATACATGGAATATTGGAAGTTAACAGCATTATCTGGTGTATCTGACAACAAAAAATTTATCGGAATGGAATTTTAAACCCACATCACTCCAAGCCACTGGTTTATCCAGGTCTTTTAGCAATTGAAGATTTTGTAAAATGTATTTGTTGTTTTTATAACCATTCCTCATGTTTTGCTGTTTTTTATCCTGTTCAACTATTTTGACACTATTTTTATTGTAATTATTTTGACACTATTTATTGTACAATGTACATAAAAATGAATAAAGATATTTGAATTGAATTGAATTGAATTCAAATGCGAGACAACCAAAGTGTGCATGGACAGGTGAGCAGACCGTCTGGCGATACAACTCCTCATTATCAAGATGTGTGGGAACTTTAACAGATTGGAAGTGAGTAGCAAATGCCTCCGTTATCGCAACGCTCCCCTCCACCTCCTCCCCGTCCAGAGTCATCGCAGCCACACGACTATCACTCGATCTTAGCCCCATAATAATACTCCAAAATGAATTAGGATTTACCTTAATAGTATTTTCAATGTCGTTCAAATATTTTAAGTAAAATGTCTTAATACTACGTTTGGACTGACAACGCAATTCCTTATATTCCTCTGCAAAACACTTATCTATATATTTCTTTCATTTCCTTCTCGCCTTTTCTCTGTCTTTAATTAATTTAATCCTAACAGGAGAATACCAAATAGGATATTTTTGTTTATGATTCTTAGGCAATGGGACATTTGAATCTAGGGCTTAATATAACCTACTATAAAAATTATCAACTGCTAAATCTACATTTGAACAACTATGTACAGAATCCCACTCAATATACTTTACACCAGTGTACAGCTTAAATAATCCACATTCTTAAAATTGTAAAATTTTCCCCCTTGATTATTACAACTAATTAGTTGTTTTTTTTATCAATAATTCAAAGTCAATACCTAATGGAGGGTGATACTTGTCTTTTTTTACTACGGGATGTTCTTCCTTAACACCCATATTGATAATAATCAATATTACTTAACACTAAATCACGAGTCCTATTATCACAGTTTAGAATATATTTTTTTTTTTTACTACATTATGTAAATTACAAAAAAGCATAAGTTGCTTGACCTTGACGATGATATTCCTAGTGATATTGTCCTTTTTGTTGGGAGCTAAACGGTGCGCTGTGTCTATCATCCAAGGCTGAAGAGAACACCTGCAACTCTTCTCACCAGATCCAGAACATCTTCATATTTACTCTCCGGTACTCCCTGTATTTCCAAACAGTTCGCCCTAGAATATTGATCTGCTGCATTTATTTTCTTTTTAAAAAAGCGAACTTCAGCCTTAAGTTTATTGTTTTCACTTTACAGAAGATTGATGTTTTTGTGATGTTCACTAAATTTATTATCATTTTCTCAGAGTTTTGTTTTAATATCCTTAATCTCATCAAAACGAAATTCAGTGCTGCGACTCAAGTCATCCTTAAACTCTTGTAGGCCCTTCTTAATTTGAATAACATCACCCTTGATTGTGTTGCTGTCCGATTTAACCTCACCAAGTTGTGAAATAATTAGATAGAGTTTCTTATCCAATGCTTGATAATCACTTACACTTTGCGCACGGGCACTTACAGTGTTTGAGTTGTCCGGTGGTGGCGGCGACATGACGCTTGACTACCAGATGGCGGCACCGTATAGACGAATGGTCACGTAGAAAAACCCTAACCCCACTTCTGAAATTAGGCACTTTAGATACGCGAGAATAAGTTCACAAAACTATTAAATACACTCAATTATCGTGAGTATAGTAGAACAGTGTTTTTTAGTAAACGTATCCAGAAATTTACGACAAATCACTCACGTTAAACACTAAAGAGGTAAGAGCCGATGTAACGTGTGTTTAGCACTCTAGCATGTTCTCTCCAGAAAAATAGAAATAAAAAATAATTCCCACTGATAGCCATAGATGATAACCAATAGGTAAGAACCTACAAGCTACACACTATCGGGCATCAGCAAAAGAGAAGATGGAATAGAAAATATAAGTGGATCATGAGGAAAGAGATAGTAACAATTAAGGATATAATAAAGTGTGCAGTTAAAGTTTAACGAGAAACCAATCATTTATGATTTCGGTTTTCTATGAAATGGTCCAATCATGTTGATAACCTGGCTGCCATAACACACTTTTGCACTTAACTCCCTTTTCCTGGATCTTGTATTTATTAGACCTATATCCATCCTCTCATTATCAAATCCCTGACACAGCATGTGGCCTGTAGGTTATCTTTTCTCTTTCTTGTAATTCCACCCTCTGGGAGAGTATTTTGACATTTATCACCCTACTTCTTTACCCACTTATTTACTCATTCCTAAGTGTTGTTCTTATGTTGCAGCCTACCCAGTACCCCACAGTCATCAGAGATACACCTCTCATCAGAGTATGGTACAAGCAAGATGATGAGTTCCTGCTCCCCAAGGCTAATCTCAGTTTTGAGTTTGTCAGGTAAAGACAAACATTATTTTCTTGCTCAAACTAGGTATCCTATAGTTATTTGTGCAACTAGTGAGCAAAGTGAGCAATTGACTCACTTGAGAGAAATACTTACTCACGAGCCGTAGGCGAGTGAGGAATGGTTTCTCGAGTGAGGCAATTGCACTTTGCACTCGAGTTGCACATTATATTTTTCCTATACAGTTATCATAAAACAAATAAATTGGTAAAGAAACGTAACATATTTTTACACAGAAGTGAACTTTTAATATGATATTTAATGTGAAGTGACAAATACAACAGTACAACAGCTGACCAGCTGATTTTGCAACAATAAACCTCATTGGTATTTGATTTCCATGATTGGTACTATTTGTTTGACAGTCCGCTGGCCTACATGGACCCTCACTGTTGCAACATGACCTACATGTTTGTGTTGCTGTTCAAAGACGCCCTCAACGAGTATGTGTATGCGGCTGAGCTAGCTGGCATGAGGTGGGAACTCACCAACACCAAGTACGGCATGGTGGTAAGCTAACTCTAATCAAGTGAGTAGAATATAGCATTTCGGTTTGTTCACTTCTTCTATTTAGAAGGTTGTTAGAAAGATGTCTTCTAAGCTTAAAAATAAAATTAATAATAATTGTCAAATACAGTAATAAAGTTTTGTATAAGAATATTTTTTAATACTAAAAATAAATCTCTGATGCTATTAAAACTACCGAAGTAATATTTTGGTCAGAATCAGAATAGTTTCATCTCAATCGCTAAGTAATATATATATTATTTCCTTATTGATTTGAATGTTAATTTGTTAATTTTTTTTGTATTTACCTATTTACTTAAAAATAAACAAAATTATAGTTTTTTTGGGCTGCAAAGAAGTTTTGTGTTAGGTTTGATCTTATTCGTGGAGTCCGTTTCTATATACTTCTCTCAGAACAGTTTATCTATCAACACTTTTCATTTATATTTCTAACAATAGTATGTATAATTTCAGTTGGGCATTGGAGGATACAACAACAAGCAACATGTGCTACTCAACAAAATAATTGAAAAATTGACTAACTTCAAGATTGACCCTAAACGATTTGAAATCCTCAAAGAAAACGTAAGTTCCTTTAATCATTGATTGTTATTTTTGGTGGTTTATCACTACACAATTACTTGTTAGTTATTTGACATATTTGTCAAACAAATTGTATCCAGTTTATTATTTTTTTCTTCATTGCTGTTGTAGTACATTAGAGGCTTGAAGAATTTTGAAGCTGAACAGCCGTACCAACATGCTGTCTACTTCTTAGCTGTGATCCTGGCAGAACAGGCTTGGACTAAAGAAGAGTTGCTTATTGCAGCGGCAGGTATGTTAAATCACCCAGCAACCACAAACCACCTGTAGTGGACTGACTAGACCAAAAAAAGACTATTAATAGACTTGAATATAACAGATATGTATTCAACAAAATTGGACAATAATATTTACCAAATCATAATAAATAATAAAACATATGTTTTGTCAATTAATCATAAAACAAAAAGGCAGGCATAAGTTATAACACTACCTGCTTATTCTAAAGAGTAGAGCTATGACCACTGTGTCAAATAAATCAAATTAGCTGAACCAAAGGGAGTGTTGCACAACGTCCAAATATCACGATATCCAATGATGTAAGTCAGTGTCATGACGTCCAAGATATAATTTTTGAGCTGTCTCACGACATCAAATACGAACTATTCGAATGTTGTACGACGTCCAAATCTCATCATGTCCAAAATTACAGTAACTGCAAGAAACATAGTCTTTCTACAAGCTTTGGTCATCGTGTGACAGCACACTTTATACTATTAAAAACTTAGCAGTAGCACCACATCCAAAACATCTACCAGTTGCAAAAATTCCAATAGCTCAGCACTGTCGCACGACGTCCAGAGCTCCTGCATGCGAAGCTACTGAAGCTAGATTAGGTTAGGTTAGATTAGTATGCACTACAGTCGGTAAAACAGTATTCAGAGTGTGCAGGCACTCTGGACGTTGTGGGATAGCACTGAGCTATCGGACGTTGTGGGATAGCACTGAGCTATCGGACGTTGTGCAATCGGCAGCGGCTATGGACGTGGTGCAACTGCTACTTTTTTTAAGAGTGTAAAGTGCGCCGTTTCTGACGTCTAGACGTCCAAAGCTTGTAGAAAGACTATGTTTATTGCAGTTACTGTACTTTTGGACATGATGATATTTGGATGTCGAGCAACAGTCAAATATTTTATATTGGAGGTCGTGAGACAGCTCTAGAATTATATTTTGGACGTCGTGAGACAGCTCAAGAATTATATTTTGGACGTCGTGACACTGACTTAAATCATTTGACGTCGTGACACATGGACGTTGTGCAATGCATCCGAATCAAATACAGATTGGGTAAATATACTGCAGGGCAAGACTTTTTGATTAATTCTTGCTATACTGTTGGACACAGATGTAGGTACATTATAAATTTTGTTATCTGCTTGATGTGGAGAAAGCAAATATTTTTTTTTAAATACAAGCCTATAATCTGTGTACAACTGTAAAGTCTCATTCAAATTTATAATCTTGGTACTGTATGTTCATTCAGTGTTGGTGTTTGGATGTGAGCATGCACAAAATCTTTATGGATCATGTAGCCACTGGTGATATAGTAATCTTAGAATGAGATGATCAATGATCATGTAGCCACTGGTGATATAGTAATCTTAGAATGAGATGATCAATTATCAATAACTAGGTGAAACCCGTCGAAATCTATGGTTGCTTTTAGGCTTACGCTAATTCATCTAACCGCGATAAATAGAGTGAAATTATAAAAAAATTAAGCATTTAGCAACGTTTAATGAGTAATAAATAAGTGTAAAAACAATAATGTCTATTGCGTTAGTAACAAAATACGGTTGATCATTCAATGAATAACACATTTCTTATACAGGATTATTATGTACAAGGATAGGGATCAGCTAGCTTACCTGGTAGATAGAGTCCAGATTAGCCTTGATTACACATAAAACACATGACACAACACAGAAAAACTTAATATTTCGTCCCAGTTAGGGACTTCATCAGAAGGGAGAAGACTGCCAGTTTTCTTTCTTCTTCTCCCTTCTGATGAAGTCCCTAACTGGGACGAAATATTAAGTTTTTCTGTGTTGTGTCATGTGTTTTATGTGTAATCAAGGCTAATCTGGATTCTATCTACCAGGTAAGCTAGCTGATCCCTATCCTTGTACATAATAATCCTAATCAGCCAATTGGCCTTTCCTTAACTCCTAACCTATAAAGTACATTTCTTATACAGTACGTCATAGGAGTTATTGTTACTACTGGTTTCTCTTCTTTTGGAGGAATATATGAAGAATGCTTTTGGAGGAACCTTAAAATAGTATTAAAATGGCATTGGTGGATCTTTTGTCGTAAACACTTCCACGATTTCATCAGTGTTATGAAGATTAAATCTATGCTTTTTTTTAGAAAAATATCTGTTTGTTGAGAAGGCACGTTTTTAACGGAGGCCCACCCTAAAACTGTGTAAGTTTTATTTTTTCCTTCGTCAAGCTGGTCATCATACCGTACTTCTGTGCAAATGAATAACCCTCTAGCATAATTTTGATAAATTGGTCGCTTTTAAATCTGCAATTGCATGACATGCGGATGTCAGTGACAGAAACATGTGTGAAAATAATCTCATGAGTCTATGATGATCTGTCTTGAATAATATGACAAAATATAGGCAAAAGTGGTAAAAAAGGAAGGCACCAACCTGTTCAATAGATATAAGTTAACTCGATAAGAAATAGTTTTAAGTGTTACTGTGATATTACGATTTTCCACTGATTTCGTAATAGAACGTTATATTACAAAACATGACATGATGCAAAAATAAATCGATGTTAAAATATAAAAAAAAAAACATTGCTCTTACATCATTTGACAAATTCAGTTACCTTATAATATGTGTTGTTTGAAATACAATTTAAATATTAACAGCTGTTTCATTAAAAAGTGCTGACAAATTATCCATATGACCATTTTGTAAACAAATCTGGGAAGGGAACTTTAAAGGCCCTGGGGCAGAGCCCCAAGGGAATATACATAGTTTTTCTTTTGATGGCTCATCTACAGACCAAGACCTTTCTTTGGACACCTCTACCAAGTTTCTACGCCCAGCCGTTCTCTCAAATTAGTGGAGACAAAGTTTCCAAATAAATATTTAGATTACCCCATGTTTATCTTATGGGTGAAAATCCAACTTTGATGGAAGATCCTGCCCAAACTAATAAAGATTTAAAAAAATGAAAACCACTTTGCAAAACTACAGATCAGGACCATTTTTCTTACACTTTAATCATCAAAATCGGTTCACAAATGAGGGAGGAGTTCTGTTTACAAAAATCGGCTCAGCGTATTATATATATAGATTGCTTTTTTAGGACAGTATAGGCCTACATTTTACTACTTCAAATCCTTACTACTGTAAGTTCATTATGATAAAGTTTCATATCAATATTAAAATTCATTGTAGTAGCCTCGGAACTGTAATATTGACTAATATTGGTTTTTGGAACTGACTACAGGTAATATAAAACCAATATTAGTTGATATTAATAATTCAGGGTGTCCACCGACCGGGAAAACCAGGAATTATGCGTAATTTGTTTGAACCGGGAAAAAATCGGGAATTATGCCTGAATTCTGTATTTTACCGGGAATTTTCAATTTGCCGCAATCGCGCATGAAGATGACGTTTCCGTGACCGCGGGTGATGACGATGGCGTTTCCGTGACCGCGGGAGACGACGATGATGATTCGGTGACCGAGGGAGACGACTATGAAGTTTTCGTGACTGCGGATGAGGACGATTACAGCATTGCGGGACTTGGAAATTTTAGTATGAAAAGTACGAACTGAACCAGGCTCTACCCGTAATTTTTTTTTTACTCATGAATTTTTTCTGGTTGGCCTGGTGGTCACCCTGTAGTTGAATCTATAACTCAATGTTGTCTCCTTGGCAGTTTAAAGGCACCTTATGAACATCTGAATGAAATGTCTAGCCCTGCAATTGTCCTTATAATATACCTGAATACAATGTTTAAAATGTGTCCCTTCTATAATATTGTGGGTTCCTTTAAGATTGCTTTTGTAACAAGAGTTTTGTTGTAACTGTTTTATTTAACCAATAGTTTTTCTTCTGTTTGCAGATCTCACATTGGAACGTATGGAAGCATTTATTCCTCAGATATTGTCTCGAATGTTTATTGAATGCCTTGTCCATGGAAACGTTGACATGAAGGTAGGTTTATCATATGATCTTAGCCTGACAAGACAATATTTCTTAATCTACAAATTCATTGCAAATGGTATTGGCATCATACTAAGTGCTGGTCGTGATATGTTGACTCTTTCATCAGCTGTAGATTCAATAATTGCTTTACAGTAGGGGTCTGCGGTGCACCGAAAAAGTCGGTACGGTACGGTAATCGGTAAACGGTAAGCTTAATTACCGTCATCGGTTCGGTACAGCATTTTATACAGTACAAATTCGGTTCGGTACAGCCTAATTATAATAATAAATTACTTTCAGTTTACTATCGTAGTCAACGACAGTTGGTTCCGAGCACATAAAAGTCTTATCAGATGTTTGTTTATCTTCATAATTTATTACTAGGGTGATGATGCAATAAAAACCCCATTAGCAGTTCCAAAACCATTAACTTTTTATCACGACAATAATTGTTGTATTCAAGTACTTCCAAGAACTGTTGAGTTTTATCACTTTTATTTCTTTACGACTTTCTCCAATTCTATTTTATCATAAAAATAATAGTTTTATGATGACTGTTAAATGTTATCTCTAACTCAGTCAGTATTTTTGTAAATATTCAATTTGCCGCTGGCCATTGCCTACTGCCATAAAACTGTTTATGGCCACATATTAAACTTGTAACTAATCTACAATCTTATTTTATACCCAAGTTAAAATATTTATTATAGATATTTTATCTTTCTATTGACAACCACAAGCATAGTTGTTGTTAGCATAATTTTTGTTTTCGTTATTTAAGCCTACTCGGTCTCAAATTATGTCATTACATGTTCTGTATCTTGTCTTATATTGTTAGATGTGACTGTTTAAGGCTTAAAATGTTTTTACCTAACCCGCCATGTTAAACTTCCCTATCCCAAGCGTGATGTATACAACTTCCTTACTTCTCGAGTGATGTAAAGTTGAAAAAAACTCACTCGGTGATGTAATGAAACCCATTTAAATAACATTGAGTGGATAACTTAAAAAATATACCTCTATGGAGCCAACGACGTTCAACGCTAGAAATCAGCTGTGTGTTTGAATTTTATTGTTATGCTTTGAAGAATTTTCCTAACCTAGCTTTTGTTTGTAAATGAACGTTACTGTTAGAAGATGAGTGAAATTGATAATGAAGCATATTGCTCGTGTTCTCCTGAATATTGTCGGGTCAGGTAAAATCTTGTACGTTACACGTTACGCAAGAGCGTGTTTACATCACTTCGGTGAATTATGCAACTCGCCTTCGCTCATTGCACAACATTCACCTGCGTGATGTAAAAACGCTCTTACTACACTTGTAATGTAAATAGCTATTTTAGTTTCCTGTATTATTTGTGTTGTGTTGAAGGTACTTTATGCAATCTAAATCTTATGAACTAGATAGTGAGTTTGCTACCCTAATTGTAACCTAATCAATTTATATATAGGCCCTCCTAAATAATTAGGTCTAGGCCTGGGTCTTTTGATTCTTTGGAAGAGCTTTAAAATATAGCGCTCAATCCAATTTTCTTAGTATATTTTAAGAAAATTGGATTGAGCCTAAGATAAACTAATGATTGATTTGATTGATATTGTGGATGTTAACTTTGTAAATGAAAAGACAATAATCTTACTCTGTAATAATCCAAATTTTAGTTTCAGAAAAAAAACTTTTCAAGAGTTATAACTTGTAATAACTTATAATAACTTAATAACTTTAATAACTGTAATAACTTATAACTTGTTTTGAAGCTGATACAAAAATATGCTCTTTGCCATTACTTCATCATAACCTCTAGTGAACAGCTGGCAACTACACTGTCATCGTACTGAATGTTTTTTTAGGCCTATATGTTTTAAAAAAATTTAAAAACAACTAGACATTGTGTTGGTTGGAAATAATTTACCAGTTGTGTTAAATTATCTTGTCCATAAATGTTTCAAACATGTTTGTTCCTAAAAACTCTTATCCTATTTTTAAAACCACTTTTATCATGGTTATTCAAAGTATCTCAGAGTAAAATAGGTAAAGCCTTTATCTTAACTGTGATTTTTCTTGACACAATCCTCGTAGTAGTAAAAGGTTTTGTTTTAATAATGTGTGGTACAGTAATTGTTGTTAGAAAACCATGAATGTAGGATACTATCCATTTTCATAGTTATGTCAATGTATTAAAGTTAAAAATAGTGGTTTAAATACAGTTCTGAGCAGAAAACCACAAAAATACGGGTAGCCGCGTACCGTACCGATTTTGTACCGAGAACTGAGGTACAAAATATTGTACCGTACCTACCTTAAATTTTCTGTCCCGCAGACCCCTACTATATACACTTTGTATTATGTTTATATATTCAATGCTTATACCATGTGGCCAATCCGGCAACATTGCCTTCAATCTGACAACATGGCGGCAAATGATAAGCCTCTATCATTCTCATTCAACTAGTGTTCTACTAGTTGTTGGTTGTACAAATCATTCGTTGTGAAATGCAAAGGCACGCTGCTATTTTAGATTATATAAATATTACGAATTTCAGCTACTAGGAACTTACATTAACTTGGAATTATTTACATTAGCTGACTTCAGAGTATTCCCGAATAAACTGTGATGTATTACTCTTTACAACCTTCAACGTCATTCGAGTTTTGTACCATAATTAACCTCACTTTTCAGAATCGTTATCGAGTACAATGAAGCGAAGTATCGAGTATCGGTGATTCTTCGATACCACTGGTATCGAGAATCGAAATCGGCCCATCCCTAGTTAAAACATTGTAGTGAGGTGTAAAATATTTTACATACATTTTTTAATTTGTTTATATTCATGTTCATTTAGATTTTATGTAGTAAATTGTAAGTCCAAATCAGTAAGTAGGTTTCAGTGTGTTTACTAGTTTCGAGAGTCTTGTAAGTCAGTAAAAAGTCAGATTTTACTAGTTTTACTAATACATTTTTTACTATGTATTTTACTAATACATAAGTATGATTTCAAAGTATTCTAGGCCAAGGACTATTAATCATGTCTTAAAAACAAAATAGTTAAATATACCCTTGATTTGATTTTTTTCAACTATCATCATAAGAAAAAATAGTAGGGGTGGGTCTGTTCTCGATTCCACCGATTCTTAGCTTTGGAATCGGAATCGAGAATCGATCGCTCAAAGTCGATTCTGATGCTGATACCCGACAAGTCTGCAATGATCGCACTTTTGGAAAATAACCGCTATTGCCACGATCATCCAAGACGAATTGATTTTTCAGATATTGGTGTCGTTATCTAGAATCTATTAATTTTGGTGTTGACAAATAAAAATATTAATAGAATATTGGGATGGTAAAAATACTAATTTTAGCAGCACTATAAACTATTTTAACCTATAGGAATCGATGGAATCAGAATCGAGATTTGAGAATCTATTTCAAAGAATCGGAATCAAAATCAGAATCGAAGATTTCTGGAATCGACCCATCATAAATAGTTTGGGGATGGACATTAAGCCAGTGGTTGGTGTAGTATGGTAACCATTCCGAAAATTTTGTAAAACTAAAAGTGGTATCACTATCAAGGATTGAGAATTGATTTTTCAGATATTGGTGTCGTTATCTAGAATTAATTAATTTTGGTGTCGACAAATAAAAATATAAAACCTATAGGAATGGATGGAATCGGAATTGAGATTTAAGAATCTATTTCAAAGAATTGGAATCAAAAACAGATTTCTGGAATCGATCCATCACTAAAATTAGGAAAGGGATTGTTTTATACTATTTTGTTGCATAAAATAAGTGAATAAATACTAGTCATTGATTGTTATTCAAGGAACCTGGTAGGCCATCTGCTGACTATGGTATTGTTGTTGCAGACTGCCCAGTCCGTGGTACAGTCCGTGGAAGATCAGATACAGTCCAGTGTCTCCTTATGACAATTACTGCCCCGTCAGCTGCTGCGCAACCGCGAGATACAGCTGGCGGATGGTGAGATACGCCACTTCATGTCACTATCATGTCTTTGACTGTGGATAGAACTTAACTTTCCATTTCCTCGTTTAAGTTGTTGCCATGTGTAAAATGAAAACTATTGTAGGCCTAGTTGAATTGCACCTCCTACAGAGTCTGCTGTTGTCAATCACTGATTTCTCTCGTACACACCATCTGTTTTAACAAACCAAACTGAACGGACAACTTATTACAAACCAAGGCACCTTCTATATTATATCAAACACCAAAGTATTGAAAACTAAGAAGGGAAATGAAATTTTGATACTATCATAATTTGTGAGTGGCTCGTCCAACTAGGTTCTCTTTGGATAAAATTTAGGCTACAGTAGGTCTATACAGATGGAGACTTTACTTTAATTACTTTTACTTTCTCCCCCTATACCATAGTATATGGAGAAAGTATTGTTTTCGTCAAAATTTTCGAGTTTGAGTTTTGAGTGGATATATTCGTTTTGGGTTCCCCTGGACCCAAAAAAGTGGTTTTCGAAGTGATGTCTGTGTGTGTGTGTGTGTCTGGATGTGTACAGAGCTAGAGACTACACCTGTGGTCCGATTTCGATAAAATTTGGTATGTAGGTTCTAATTCATGGTATCTCCAGGCGTTTTTTTCATTTTTTTGAAATTTTGATTTTTAATGGGGATTTTCCCATAAAAACCCATAAAAATCCGGAAAAATGGAATTTACTCAAAAATAGCCCGAAGGATTTTGATAAAAATTTAGTATGTTGTAGCCCTTTAAATTCTGAACAAAATGGTACAAATCCCATTTCTCTAAAAATTACGGTTCAAAAGTTATGCTAAATTATGTTATTTCCCCATAAAAACCCCATAAAATAACAAAAAATAGGATTTTAGAAAAAAATTCGGTTTTTATTTAACATAGTATGCTATAGTCCTTACAATTGTGATAGTCTTTTTCAATTTTTTAGAAATTTTGATTTTTAATGGGGATTTTCCCATAAAACCCCATTAATAACGGAAAAATAGGATTTTCCAAAAAACGGCCCGAACGATTTTGATAAAAATTTAGTGTGTTATAGATCTTTATATTCTGAACAAAATGGTACAAATCCCATTTATGTTAAAATTATGTTTCAAAAGTTATTGTAAATTATGTTATTTTCCCATAAAAACCCCATAAAATAACGGAAAAATCTGATTTTCACAAAAATGGCCCGACCGATTTTGATAAAAATTTAGTATGTTATAGTCCTTTAAATTCTGATCAAAATTGTATTAATCCCATTTCCGTATCTCACCGCTTACACATGATAAAGGTTGTTGACAAACTTATGGGAGAAAGTATGTGTCAGAATGCTGATACCATTTATTTTATATTGCATTTTACTTTAATTTATAAAGTAAATGCTAGAATGCAGTGCAACAGTCAGTCGAACCGAAATACAGCTCATCTTAAGGGACTGTACAAAAAAGGTTTTGAACCTAGGACACCTCAAGACAATTTAATAACAATTTAGTATAATATCTTAGGCTATCATCTTGATATACACAAATTTGTAAAATTGGTTTAAGAGTGGGAAATAAATAAATCAAATAGGGGTGTGCGAAGCAGCAAAAAAATTGTGATTCGAAGCAACCATTCGATTGAACAGATTTTCTATTCGAATCGAGTTATATAGTTTATATGCTTGACAATGGAGTGAAATAACAATAATTAAAGTTTACCGCATTTGTGTATTGCAAATTTTTGTTGATGTGGTATTAGGTATATTCGTACATGTGACATAATATGATTTTTAGGTGTAAAAATATTTATTTTCAATCATATATTAGAAGAACTCTATTTTCAAGAGTTGGTAGCCTCCGGATTACGTTTGAATAATTATAATGGTTTAAATACCTGCATTCAGTATTTAATGTACCTGTCACCTGTCTTGTGTTCCCGAGTACTCGGTTTTTTTTTAATGTTACATGTTCGTCTATCAATGTGCGTGTTCGTGTGTGTTCTATGTACTTATTTATTTATGTGTCTTCATATACGGAGGTGTACGGCCTGAAGATGGTTCCTTAGTGAACTGAAACTTAAGTTGCCACAAGCAGCAATTTGGATTACTAAATGCAGGTATTTGAACCTGTATTGCTGAAAATGTTAGTGAGCTGCTTAATTTGCCTATTTAATATTTTTTTCTTGCAGAATCATATTGTTAAGCATGTTACCTATTTTATAATATTGATTTTACAAATAAATATATGTTTTGTTGTAAACAAATAAAAACATTTGTAAGATTTATACTAAAACTTTCAATTGGTTTACTTTACACTGATAAAATGGAAAGATAGAATCAGACCTATAAACTACATAGCTTCAGACCTACAAAAAACCAAATTCATCAGTCTTAAACACCAGTCTTACTAGTTAAGTATCAAGTAAAAAATTTTCTGACTTGTGTTGTTTTTAGAATGATTTTGGAGTGACTTGTTTTGCTATGTATATAGTAGTAAAACAGTCTCACACTGCTTACACTTAACAACACTTCTCATCATTTTCAATGTCAAAAAAATTATAAAACAATTAAAGCAATATTTACATGCAAAGAATCTACTCATATATAATTCAGTTTAAAAAATCTTTGTACAACTAAATCTAGAGTTCTACTGGATCGATTTGATAATTAATCAAATCGATCCAGAAGAACTCTCCGATTAATTAAACTCTCCATTAATTAAATGGGTCGTCGGAAAGCTTAATTCGTGTATATTTGCAAATAATTATGAAAGTTTGTTTTTGGTATGATTTATGGTGAAAAATGAATCTATAGAAAGTTAAAGTCCTTTTTATCAATAATTGATTGTTATGAATTAGGGATGGACGAGACAGAATTTTTTTTTTCATAAAATTTCAAGATGGGATTTCCCTTCTCATACATAATGGGAAATGCACGTTTGACATTTTTACCTGATTCTGTAACGTTGTTAAATACCTACTGATTTATGACGGATTACTGTTTAAATACAAAAATAATAATAATTGGCAAGAATATTTCAAATCTTTTATTAAAAAACATCAGTATTAACAAAATGTTCATTACTTAATTACGTCTACCTTATTAAAAATAACTCATGCGCTTAGGAGACATGGTGATATCAATTAGGATAGAGTTAAACTTTTAAAAATACAAAATTTATCAGTCTTAAACATCAGTCTTACTAGCAGTGGCGGTTCCAAGGGGGGGGGGGGGGGCTTTAGCCCTGGAAAAATAAATTTAAACGTACATTTCGTCCTTAAAATACACAATCTCATAAAACAGACATCAATGTAGTTTTCATTAAACTTAAAAGCGATGGCAGGAGTAGTATTAAGTCCCACATAGATAAACTTTGTGGAAACTAGCACAACGAATAAAACAATATTACGCTATGGAAAGTTGTACACATCATAAAATTTTTACAGCAGTCAGCTGTTGACATGCTAGGGCAAAGGCAAGCACCGAGCACGCGAGCGAGAACGGGGGAACAGCTGATTTCCTGATGTTCCATGGTTAGTTGTCAAATTGTCTGCTAGCCACTAACTTTACACAGGAATCAATCAGCAATCAGCGGTAGCACCAGTAGCCTATTACCATTGACTATTATAAACACTATTAAAGTTTATAAAGTCAATGCTATTACTGAATTCGATACTATACATATTGTGACAGATCTATGAAATGGAGAAAAACGTAAAGTTAAAAAACGTGTCTACTTGATTGCATGACATATAACAGGTGAAATGGGAGGTTTTAGGACAATTGGGCATAGTTCTAGTCGTTAGTTATGGCTTTATCAAGTCACCAAAAAGCTTTTAGGAGGTGGATTCGTAGTCTACAGTAGGCCTATGTTTTGAAATTCATGAATGGAAGTTCGTCATAGTTTGAGTTTAAAATGTCTACTTGCTCATGACAAAGACAAATAACAGGAGCAAACCCTATTACCCTGTTTGAAGGTTTGTGTTTGTTGTTTTTATGAGAGGTTTTTGGGCAGTTGGACACAGATTTATACATTAATAATGGCTTTAGAAAGTCAGTAAACAGCTTTTTTAGGAGGATATGGCCGTAGCCTACAATATGTTTTGAGATTTATGAATGTAATCGTCACAGTTAGTTTTATAAATGTCTATTCATGACAAATAAATGGGGAAATGTGAGGTTTTGCACACAGTTTTAGACGTTAAAACTGGCTGTAGAAAGTCACCTAACGGCTTTTAGGAGGATATGGACGTAGTCTACAGTGTGTTTTGAAATTCATAAATGCAATCGTCATAGTTTAATTTTTAAAATGTCCATTTCCTCATGACAAACAAGTGAAATGAAATTTTATGGACAATTGGGCACGGTTTTAGGTGTTAAAAATGGCTTTAGAATGTCACCAAACGGCTTTGAAAATTCCAAATTTTCCCGGGGGAGGACCCCCCAACCCCCCTGCTTTATTCCCAAGCCCTCCCCTTGACAAGGTCCTAGAACCGCCACTGCTTACTAGGTTAGTATCAAGTAACAATTATTCAGTCTTGTGTTATTTTTAGAGTGACTTGTTTTGGCTATGAAGGAAAGAAAGAAAAAAGTGCTTTATTTTTCACAATTAATTTACACCTTATCATATATACAATAACAAAAAAAAAATTTGGTTTATTTATTGTCTGTTTGGTTGGCACCCTGCTTTGAATGAACATTATTTTTAAACTTTAACATAAAGTACCTATTTATCTATACATATTAAAAAAACAAGTATTATTGAAATTCAGCTTGTAAAAAAACTGATCATAAAATAAAAGCAATTTTAACCCTAGCAGTGGTCAACGATTGTAATACGCTTGTTTGCCGTGACGCCTAGAATGGCCACCAGCGTAATACGATAGTATGGGCCAAATTTTTTTAACGGTAAAAAAACTGCTTATAATCAACTCTGATGTGAACAATATATATTCGAAAGATCACATCCTGAACTTTCAGTTTATTATATAAATAAACCCTGTAGCAGGTATATAAATAACAATGTCACGACGATTAGGAATCAAATGAATTTTTGGCATTTTACAGCTGACACTTGGGAACTGTCAAAACACGACTTGTTTGGCATTACCCTGCTCGGGTAATTTTCGACTTGGGATTTTGCGGGTGGTCCCACTGGATAGCCATTGATTTTATCTTCATTTTGGTATTGATATTTAGAACGAAATATTGATTACACAACAGGTACGATTTTATAAAAACAGCTGATTCGAAATTTATAACAAATTGCCAACCATCGTAATACGCTAGTATGGAAAATACGAATTATTACATACAGTGTAAGTTATTATTACTAGTCATATAATATGTCATTTTAAAGAGGAAGAAATGTAGCTTGTGATAGTGGCAGCCCTGCCCTCAGGGTTATTTCCATTTTCTCTCAGGAAGACGACAAAAGTGTGTCACTACTGTCAAGATCTCATACACAAAGTGCCTTGTATTCACCATTGCGTTTTGTTGCGGGTGAGTTTTCGCTCTCGTGTTATCCTTAGATTTATTACTAAATTCGTTATTTTGTATTGTTAGAGAAATGTGTGTGTGTATATAACAGTAATCTTCATGCATTTTATTATGCACGAATATTTACTGAATAGTGCGAAATTGTGTTTATAAAAGGTTGTATTTTTCTTGCGGTTGTATTTTGCGGTTTTCCGTTTATTATATTACTAGCTGTACCCGCGGGCTTTGCCCCGTTTTACTTCATAAGTGAGCTCGTTCGCATGGCTCAATCACGTCCTGGTTGAAGTTCGTTCGCTACGCTCACTCACCTTTTGGTTGCAAATTAGCTGTTGTCATAGATAAAAAAATATAATAGTGCTGCACCCTGTTGGTAATCCTTGTAAGTTTTTAATGCTTTTGCATATCATAGAATCAACTTTTTAGTTGAAACAGCTGAATAAATTATTTAATTTCTTTTTAATATGAATACTCATAAGGTTAACATGGGGAACCATAGAGCCACTGGGGCGGAGCCCGAAAGGATTTTTGAGATAAGAATATGCCTATATGTTAATCGGGAATGTGAGCTATCATCATGCCAAATTTCAGCAAAATCCGTCCAGTGGTTAATGCGTTCACTTGTCACAAACATCCAAACTTTCTCATTTATAATATTAAGTAGGATAGGATTATGCCCCTAATACGTAAAAACAAAAATTGTTACCCTACGTTTTATACATTTTTATGTAAGTAATTGAATACACTACAAGATGACTATGTTGGTTTGAAGTAAAAATATTTGGTACAAAAGATTTATACTTAACTAGCTGTTGTACCCGTGCTTTGCAACGGGAAGTCGGGAAGAGGACACAAAATAGAAACATTTTAATCTTTACCAATAGACAGAAACTTCAGAGCTGTGACGAGGTATTTATATTATATTAGTAAAAAAATTTAATCCTTACTTCTGTTGCATATAATAGTTACACATCCGCCAAGCTTTTAGAAACAAAATTCAACTTTTATGGCCTAAATAGAAACGTTTAAGTTATGACTTTTAAATCTGATAAGTAGTGGATACCACCATTTTGGTTTTGATTAATTTTAAATCTTGTGTAGGTAAACTGTATAAAGTAAACTGAAAGCTATGTTAAGATAAAATAAGAGTATTTTGTATTACACCATTTGATAATAAAATATGGTTACACATATACAACAGATTTTAGTACACAAAAATCAATGCACAATTTAGTTATTGATGATAATCTTTAGGTTTAAAGCATAGGTTTAGCGAAACACAATTACTAAATTTACCTAAATATACATGTAAAAAAACAATGTGATGTGCAAGTTATGTTAAGTAAATCTAAGACATGTTTAGCAGTTCGAATTTATTTAAAGAAGCCTCCAGATTCATACAAACCATCTATAGATTGTAATTTTCCTACTGTTTCCATGAAAATATATCAATAACATTATTTTCATAACACTTAAGACACTTTAAAAATCGAAAGCAGAGCCTGAGTTGATACAGCAACGCTTTTAGAATATTTTTTTATTTATATAATCATTGACATAGTTTTACAATAAATAATCCATGATAAAAGGTTTGATTAAAATAAACCTACCTCATAGTTATGGAAAATATTATATTTAATTTCGTTGGATCAGCTGTCTTCAATTGTGAAATATGCAATTTGGCAGTTCTTCTTGTTTACATTGAAATGTCAAAGCAAATGTAAACATTGAGAGTATTCTCATTGCAGCCATGGATACCAATCAATATTTACTTTGAAAATCCTCACCTTAGAACCTTTAAAGCCAAAGGGGCAAAGCCCAAGGTCAGTTTCAAAGTGTGAATCGTCCTATAATGGTCCTTGGTATGGTAGCTATATTTTTGTAAAATTTAAGCCCAGTTGGTGTAGTAGTTTTTGCACCTATTAGTAATACACATACAGACAGACACCATTAGATTTTTATATAATAGTATAGATATAGATAGGCCTACTATGAATTTTTTTTACAAAATTTCTAAAATATAAAAACACTATTTTATTTATAAATAAAAAATTATTTTTACCATAAACTTTATGACTTTTTTGGATTCCTTCCTTCATTAGCTTTACAAATACCTTTGTAAATTTCGTTATAAGTATATACATATATTATATAACTTTTTTACAATACAAACTAACACAGTACGGTTTTCAATTTTTTTGGTTCTCCGTTTGTTATTATATTACGCCCAAAAAACTTACAAAGAAAAAATTTTTTCCTAACATGTTATATCTATGTAGGAAATGAAATTTTCTACTAATTAAATGTATATAATGAGTTTCCCATAAAAAATCTGAAGAATAAATTTCACCCAGACTGCTTTTGAAGTTTCAAAATAAAATTCTAATTTTTTTTTATTCTTTTCACTTTACCGAAAAAAAAAGAATCTCCTGTTCTTTCTGAACAAAAGGAATATGAGGTTGACTAAATTTACTCCTACTGTTGAATTTTTACCGATTTTCAAAAAGAGGTCTGCAAAATCGCCATTCCACTTTTCTAACATTGGCCACTGCTAGGGTTAATTTGTATAAAATACTTACTTGTTTTGGCTATGTTTACAGTAGTAAAACTTATCTCACACTGCTTACACTTAACAAAACTTCTCATCATTTGTGATGTCAAAACAAACAAATTATAAAACAAAGTAATATTTACATGTAAAGAATTAATTAAATAAGAACGCCTTCGCAAAGGAAACGCATTTACAATGCGTTCCAGTATTGCGGGTATTGCATTGACTTTCTGCAGGCGTTTTTAATCTTTTTTTCTTTTTTTAATCTCGTCTCGAAAAAATCTGGATCAAAATAAAATCTCGTCTCATGGGACGAGTTCCCAAAATTTTGGGATTGTCTATCCCCATTATGAATGAATGTAGTAAAAAAAATCATTCATTACACAATATACTTCAAGTGACCCTTAAAATATAAAATACCAGCAATTACGCAGGACTTAACTAAACATCACATTTTCAAATAATGGTATCATGTCATTGTTGTAATGTTGTAACATATTTCAGCAAAACTTGACTGTAGATAAATATGGAATTATCCGATTAGCCTATGTAAGAATAAGAGAATTTAAAATATTACAACATTTTGGATTTAATGCTTCATGTACTGTTTTCAGGCTCCGATTACATCTATGAACGATACAACAAGCTCCATCGAAGCTCTTGTACAGAAAATTACTACCAGACTAGTCTGCAGTCTACACAGTCTAATATGGTTCTTGAGTTGTTTTGTCAAATCATAACAGAGCCTTGTTTTAACATTCTTCGAACTCAGGTATAGTTTTTGGTGATTTTTTCTTAGTATTTATAGTTTTTAGTTATTGTATAGAGAATATAAAATCAACTAAAAATAATAACAGGAGGAATATTTACTGATGCTTTTTAAATATCAGAAGTAGTATCACTTACATTTATTACATGCACATTTCATTGATTTTTCCAAAGTTTTCATTAACATTTTCAGTATGTCTAGGATAAATTTGAAAATCATGGTTTAACTCATTTATTTCAAGTCTAATTGTTGTTCTATTATCTTGTTTGTTATTTAATGTGCTTGTTGTTTAAAGTGTATGTCCTTGTTTTTGTAATTTGCATATATAACAAACTAGCTGAGTACCCGTCCTTAGTACGGGGTTGGTATACAATGCTTATTGTAGTTAAATACTCGTACTTTGCATTTGCAATGAGAGAGGACACGTTTTGAGAAAATTTTATTAACTATAATCTACGGTATACTATAGTATATAGAACATCTACCATAGCCATAATGTTCTACCACTTCACCTAAACAAAAGAAAGAAGTAAAGTTCTCACACTCAGGTTTTTGTTGCTGCTTGGTTCAAATTAGCTGTTGTCATAACATGTTTAAAGAACTAATGGTGCTGCACCCTGTTGGTAAACCGTATAATCTTTTAATGCTATTGAATATCATAGAAACAATTTGTGTAGTTGAAACAGCTGGCAAAATTATTTAATTCCTTTTAAATATGAATACTCATAACGTTAACATGGGAAACTCTAGAGCCGCTGGGGCAGAGCCCGAAAGGATTTTTGAGGTAAGAATATGTCTATATGTTAATCGGGAATGTGAGCTATCATCATACCAAATTTCAACACAATCCAACCAGTAGTTAATGCGTGATTGAACTTCAAACAAACAAACAAACACACAAACTTTCACAATTATAATATTAGTATCTATATATTAATTTGAAACTGTTTTTCTTTGTCATAGCTAAATTGAGAGAACGGCTGGGCGTAGAAACTCGGTAGAGGTGTCTAAAGAAAGGTCTTGGTCTGTAGATGAGCCATCAAAAGAGAAACGTGGTAAATTCCCTTGGGGCTCTGCCCCAGTGGCCTTTGAATTCCCATCCCATGTTATTCTTATGGAGGGAAAACTGGGTTTTTGTCCCAGCTAATTTGAGAGAACGGCTGGGCGTAGAAACTTGGTAGGGGTCTCTAAAGAAAGGTCTTGGTCTATAGATGAGCCATCAAAAGAGGAACGAGGTAAATTCCCTTGGGGCTCTGCCCCAGAAGCCTTTAAAGTTGCCTCTTCAAATTTGTTTACCATATGCATAATTCTACACTACTTTTTAATGAAACAGCTGTTAATATTTAAATTGTGATTTATTGAATTTTTCAAAATGAAGTACATTACCAAATCATCAGTGGAAAGTCCTAAAATCACAGTAACTCTTAAAATTATTTCTTGAGTTAACTTATATCTATTGTATGGCTTGGTTTCTGCCTTTTTTACCACTTCTCGGAGATTGTACCTAGGTGATATTCTTTGGCGTATTGCATCTGTAGACGAAACTTGGGTTGGTGAAATTATTACAATGGAAAAAAGCGAGAAATCCTGGACAATTTGATATAGGCTAAAAATAAAACTGAATTAACAATATGCTACATTTCTTGAGCAATCATTGAAATAACCGATTTGCAAACAATGGAAACATAGAAAAAGTCATAGAACACAACCAAGTAGAAGAAAAGAAATAATGTTTTTTTTTTTCATTTATAATCGTTATTATAGACAACCTAATGCGGCTATGAGAGGGAAAAATTTGTAGAAACACTAAAAAACAAGATCAGCTTTTTGAGAAAAGATAAGATATTTACAAAAGATTTTGATTATATCTAACTGTTGCGTAGATCATGAGTATTTCCATAATCTTCGTGAGTCGCCTGTAATGCTTCGCAATTGCTCGAATTCGAGCAACAGGTACACTAGTGATAAGTATTGTAAAATTTCAGTAACTATGTAAATAAATAAATAACAAAAGGTTTAAGCATTTGTCTTTGGTTGCTTTATATTTCCAACAATGTTAAATGTGTTGGAAGTGTTAAAGATTGTCTTTTATAAATGTTCATAAAAAACTGTAATAGCTTCCTGTATGATTCAAAAATTTATTTCAACAATTAACAACATTGAATACTTTGTTCTGTTGATGTCGTAATACTAAACACCCCTGCCACAGCAAACCTGCAGACTAAGCAAATTTCCATTTGCCTGATTGGATTTACATTAAAATACATCTCCTTAAAAATATCACATTTGTTTAAATAGCATTAGTTTAACGAGTACTTAGGATTGCTGCAACAGGGAGGGTAAAAAAGCTTTTTTATGTAAAATGATAATAGTTAAATATGAAATAAATGCATTTTCCAAATTTGTTCAAAATATGTTTATAAACAAGCAAACTACAACAGTTATTAACACAAAAATTTTAAATTACAAATTTTTTTGGAATTTTCTCGGTAAACATTTGGCGCATGGTAACGCTTCAATATAATAAATTATTTGTTTTTTAAGCTCTACAAAATGGTTTGGAAAGAATTTGCCAAATTTATGTTTGTATGGTCAAAAATGGGAAAAAACAATTTATACCCCATAAAACCCCCATAATCACCCGTTCCCGTAGTCCGATCATGCTGGTTCACAAAATCGTTAGAATAAATGTAAGTTTACACGTTTATACCAAATTTCATAAAAAACTGATCAATTTAGCTCGAGTTTTATGCTAACGGATATATATATATATTAGGGGTCTGCGGTACAGAAAATTTAAGGTCGGTACGGTTCGGTACGGTACAATATTTTGTACCTCGGTTCTCGGTACAAAATCGGTACGGTACGCGGCTACCCGTATTTTTGCGGTTTTCTTCTCAGAACTGTATCTAAACCATTATTTTTAACTTTAATACATAGACATTACTATGAAAATGGATAGTATCCTACATTCATGGTTTTCAAACAACAATTACTGTACCACATATTATTAAAACAAAACCTTTTACTACTACGAGGATTGTGTCAAGAAAAATCACAGTTGAGATAAAGGCTTTACCTATTTTACTCTGAGATACTTTGAATAGCCATGATAAAGTAGTTTAAAAATAGGATAAGAGTTTTTATGAATAAACATGTTTGAAACATTTATTGACAAGATAATTTCACAAAACTGGTAAATTATTTCCAAACAACACAATGTCTAGTTGTTTTTTTTTTTTTTTTTAAACATATAAAAGCATTCAGTAGAAGACAGTGTAGTTTTGCCAGCTGTTCACAGCAGATGACAATGAAAAACTGGAGGTTATGATGAAGTAATGGCAAAGACCATTTTTTTTTATCAGCTTCAAAACTAGGTTATAAGATGGATACAATTCTTGCAAAGTTTTTTTCTGAAACTAAAATTTGGATTATCACAGAGTAAGATTTGATGTTGGGCAATTAGACTTTATAACTGTGTAAAAGGTGTGTATCCCTAAATTTATAAATTGCATTCTACACTTATTCACTGCCAAACATAATTCAATAGAACCTTGATGAACCGAGAATTACACTAGCCTACATAACTTCATTACCCCAAGTAAAATACCAAAATAATTTTTATAATTGTATTTGAATCGTATAATCTTAGTTTGTTAAAAATGGATTGTATGTTCAACAATAATTGCAGTCCATTATTATTAAGCAGTATGGTCCCAAATTATTGTTTTTGATTTTGAAACATCACAGTTCATTTGACAAAATTATAATTGAAGCAGCCCAATGTCAAGTCACGCGCGCTTGTGCAATAGTTTGTTTACAAGCTTTCTCCAGACCACGGGGGAGGGGAGGGGAGGGTCTGATAAGCCGTCTATTGTTCACCCCCAAGAAGGTCCGACCCTCATTAGTGCCGCTCGGCTGCACTCAGTGGGGAACCCAATACCGCAAATCAATCTTTTAAATGAATACAAATATTTGGTAATAATTGTTGAAATTTCAATAAATTTGGTGTAAAATTTGACAAAAATCTGCCATTTGGACCGATTATTAATACAATACCAAATACTAATAAAGTAGTACCGTACATTCATTGGTAATTAAATAATAGGTAAAAATTAACCGATTTTCGTCAAGTTTTACCCCCTGCTGTGCGCTATGTCACAAAAGCTGATAACGACATGGGTGATTAGTAACCATGGCAACTTGTTGAATGCGTGATGAAGGGAAACCCAAGAAATAGAAGAACAAAGATAAAGATTGACGTTGTTATCTTTATACCCTTTTTACAATTTCCGTTATTGTTATCTTTATGTAAGATTTTATGATTTTGTTTTATAGGTTTATAAAATAATTCTTTTTAACTACGGGAATATCAATTTATAATTTATCAACGTGCTTCTCTTCTGAAACAGCAATACCGGATGCATAATAAAGGTCAATGGCCTAAAATATCACGATTGTGCAATATTGTATTTTGATGTTAAAATTAAAATCACGACAAAAGTTTGTATATATCCATGGTCGTCAATAGAAAGATAAAATATCCATAACAAATATTTAATTTATAAAATAAGATTGTAGATTAGTTACAAGTTTAATATGTAGCCATAAACAGTTTTATGGCAGTAGGCAATGGCCAGCGGCAAATTCAATATTCACGAAAATACTGATTAAGTTAGAGATAACATTTAACAGTCATCATAAAACTATTATTTTTATGATAAAACAGAATTGGGGAAAGTCGTAAAGAAATAAAAGTGATAAAACTCAACAGTTCTTGGAAGTACTTCAATACAACAATTATTGTCATGATAAAATGTTAATGGATTTGGGACTGCTAATGGGTTTTTTATTGCATCATCACGCTAGTAATAAATTATGAAGATCGTAAACAAACAACTGATAAGACTTTTATGTGCTTGGAACCAACTGCCGTTGACTACGATAGTAAACTGAAAGTAATTTATTATTATAATAGGCTGTACCGAACCGAATTTGTACCGTGTAAAATGCTGTACCGAACCGATGACGGTAATTAAGCTTGTACCGTACCGTACCGACTTTTTCGGTGCACCGCAGACCCCTAATATATATATATTTATATGAATTTGAACCGATGGTGTTTTGGCCTCTAGGGACCTTAAAACGAAAAAGGAAATTGGTCCTGGGTCCAGGTCTTACCACGACTACTACCGTAATAACTTATTACCTATATGGGAAATACGTTAAAACTAACAAGTAGAAATTAATAGTTGTTAGCCTTATGTATATCTAATGATCAACATAACTATCTATTATATTATTAAAGTGTTACAATCAAATTTTATGTAAATGGTTAAGGCCATTAACCAAAGGCAAAAGGCACATCAAAATGAAGCTTAGAGTGTGTAGATTTGCCGAAAAGTATTGGCATGAACAAATTCTCTTAGGGCTCTGCCCCAGAGGCCGATTTCCAAAGGGCTACGGCTTAAACGTTTTAGATGTTAACGTTATTAGATTAACTAGAGGACCCATGCTGCTCCGCAGCGTTAAAATAACTATTATATCCGAGAAATAATCAAATTTATAATTTTTGATTGAGTAATACAGTATTTTGAGCTTAACTGATACAAACGAATCAATATCTCAAATTAAATCCTATAATTTACTGATTATTTTGTGTCTAAAACATATAGAAAAACATGAACAATACTGGAGATATTGATTTTTAACCATATTAAAACCTTACTATGAAAAATTATTTTTACATTGGTTATTCACCTTGCGTTTTCTTGAAACTTGTCCGATTTGAATAACTAATACCGGTAGCTTAAATGAAAGCCAGTACTTAACTGAAGGTTCTTAGACTAAAATATAGGATTATAAATGTATAACTGGTAATGGTACATCTTAAATTGAAGTAAGAATTATAAAATAAATCAAATTATGTGTTCTGGTCGTGTAATACTGTAGGTAAATATTTGTAAATGATTGATGGCAAATTTGTGCAAGCATACCTTCAATTCGAGACCTCAATCATGAAAATCGGTCGGGTAGAAGAGCCAAAGAACTCGGCAAAGAAAAACCAAATTTAACTTCCATAAGAAATACATGGGAAGCGAATTTCGTTTGTGTATACACCGAGTGGGATAATAGATAAATATATGCCAATGCTTTATGGCAAATCTGTGCGTGCATACCTTCAATTTGAGACCTCAATCATGAAAATCGGTCGGGTAAAAGAGCCCAACGAACTCGGCAAAGAAAAGCCAAATTTAACTCCCATAAGAAATACATGGGGAGCAAATTTTGTTTACGTATAAGCCGAGTGGGATTATAGATAAATATATGCCGATGCTTGATGGCAAATCTGTGCGTGCCTACCATCAATTTGAGACCTCAATCATGAAAATCGGTCGGGTAGAAGAGCCAAACGAACTCGGCAAAGAAAAGCCAAATTTAACTCCCATAAGATATCATGGGGAGCAAATTTTGTTTACGTATAAGTCGAGTGGGATTATAGATAAATATATGCCGATGCTTGATGGCAAATCTATGTGTGCACCTTCAATTTGAGACCTCAATCATGAAAATCGGTTGGGTAGAAGAGCCAAACGAACTCGGCAAAGAAAAACCAAATTTAACTCCCATAAGAAATACATGGGGAGCAAATTTTGTTTACGTATAAATAAACCGAGTAATACTATAGATAATTATATGCCGATGCTTGATGGCAAATCTGTGCATGCATACCTTCAATTTAAGACCTCAATCAAGAAAATCGGTCGGGTAGAAGAGCCAAACGATCTCGGAAAAGAAAAACCAAATTTTTTTAATATATAAGATTTAGTGAACAACAGCTGGTCAATGCAATTGACATTAGTTGTTTGTTTACATTTTTGTTTACCTATATTATTATTTACTTTTATGTTCTTAAAAGAGGTGTGGTAAATGAACACTGATGCTATTTCTAGCTGTTTGATACAAGTGAGTGCTTTAGGGTGTTTAAAAGACGATGTATATTAGATGAACAATACATGTGTGTTAGTCGTCCAAGAGGCTGTCACCGATCTGTAACAGGACTTTCTTGAATGAGGGCGATGAGTTCAGGTACAACCGTATGCCTACTCACCTCGGCCACTTCAGTCACATGTATGAAGGTCCCGCTGTTTTTTTTTAACATTCCTTCTGATGATAATTTCTCGAAGTTGGACCATTTAAATTAAATGTGAAATCAAAATTGATTTAATTAATTTAATGGTGGCTGCTATGTCCACCTGTGAATTTGCGGGTAGAACCTCTTGTATAACTTTAAAGAAGGTAATTAGTATAGTAACACATTTAGATAGCAACAGAACATGTCTAGTCCATATCAATAATATTATAAAGATATTCCTACAAACTATAAAGCAGATTGTGATAAATAATCTACACCATCATAGCTCAATCAATTTTGGTTGAGCCTTTCGAGACAATGACATTGGAAAAACTAAATCTTTATAATCCACATACTGGGGACCAATCATTTTATCTCCAACTACGGCCACCTTTAACTCCAGGCCGTGGCCTGGTAAAATTGGCAACATTGCAAGTAGTGCTGTTTAGTGCCAGACGTCCCATAAGCTAACATGGCAACAGGTGATGCCTGCTCATTTAATCGTGTGTTATTAATTTAAATTTATAAATATAAATTTATTGAAAGATGGAAAACAAAACAGATAGGGTTCCAAACCAAAACAATATAAATAAAAAATCTATTTCTGTATATTTAAAATGGAGTCAATATTTTCATAGCCCAGTAAAATATTACTGTCAGTTACTTTCAGATCCAAGCTAGACTTGTAAAGCCAATGCCTAGGCCAAACTACAAAATATCTTACATGGCCAATTTGACAATGAGATTAGAACTAGATAGATTTTATTACTAAAACAAAACTTAACAAAATCAAACTTACATATATTATTTTAATGCTGATAAAACTTGATTCTTTAAATTATTTAGTTAATTTTGTGAAAATAATTTAAATATCATCATAATCTATGGCTCATGTAGATAAAAATTGTATCTATATCATTACATTAATTTAGGATGAACCGTATTTATCGGGGAAGCGTGTAAATGAGTGTGTGTCGGCTGAGTGCGTGTCGGCGGCCGCATAGGCTGCCTCTAAACAAAACAGCACTACTGACAGTGTTGCCACTTCAAATGCCGCAGCCTGGAGTTAAAGGTAGCCGTGCTCCAACCCATAAAAATTTTGAGTTTCCAATAAGAATACATCAGATGCATAATATTTTCAATTGTCGTAGGAACAACTAGGATACATAGTGTTTAGTGGGATTCGCCGATCCAACGGAGCTCAAGGGTTGCGTATAATTGTACAGTCAGATAGACATCCTGCTTACGTAGACCACAGAATTGAAGAATTCCTAATTCAGATGAAGGTTGGTAAAATGTTATTTCAAGTGTCTTTTATATTGAATACTTTATGGTTTACCCGTTATAAAAACCAATAGTCCTACTAACGAAAAACTAGCATTTTTCCATTGAGGAACAATTTTGTCCATTTGTATTTATTGACATTTGTAGCCAACAACACCAGACAACGCCAGATTGACATTTGTATATCTAGTTGAGAACACAATTGTTATTTGTTATAAATGTTCCTTACCGTGAACTAATAAAATGAATACAATATCCAACTCAGAAATATAATTGACTAAAGATACAACTATACATTCCCTTCTTATGTTAAAGTTGTCACCAGTTTTAGAATGAAAATGAACATAAGCCTACAGTATATGTAGTTGAATTGCTGAGTGATTGTTGAGTTTTCTGTTAAGGGTAAGTGAAAAGGTGTTCTTTTGAAAAAACTTTTAATAGTATAAGATTATACTAAGAGTATACAGCTAGGTCATATTGATTGGAGGTTTCGTTTGGTATATTTAAGTCAAAGGCATTATTCTGTAATAGAAGATAAGGAAGTAAAATTAAACAAACATATTTAGAACTTTTAAGCCGGTTAAGCCATATATCTATTGAGTTGTTTGATGTAGAAACATCTGGAGGAGTTGAGTGAGGAAGAGTTTGAGAGACACAAGGAGGCGTTGGCCTCTCAGAGACTGGAGAAGCCCAAGCGACTGAGCGCTTTGTCTGCCCGCTACTGGTCTGAGATCACACTGCAGCAATACAACTTTGACAGAGCCAACATAGAGGTGGCTCACTTGCGCACACTCACCAAGCCTGACATCATCAGCTTCTACCAGGTATGTAGAGTACTCAACCGTGAAAACCTCAAAACCATGAATTTTACAGTTGAACCTTGAAAATATAAATGGGCAGACTGATTACTAGACTAAATAATGTGACTTTCAATTTTATACCAGTTCCAGGATTCTGTGATTGTGGGAAAATCGTGATCTTCTGCCGTAATCTCCTAGACATAATGAATTTTTTATTGCGTAAACTTTAGAGACGGTATCCACAATAAATAGCTTTGATTCAACGTCAAATAGGAAACAACGTCAATTCAGCTTAGAACAAGTGAAAACCGTACTCCACACGCACCTACCCCACTCCCATTTTTTCAGAAAATTATTTATCTTTGACAGATCAGTAACAGATCAGTTCATTGCGGTCTAAGACTTCACTGTATTACTGATTATCCGTTGTTTTATCTCAATTCCAGTATTTTGTCCTTAAATCGATAACTGTACTTGATACTGCCTTGGACCATAGACTAACCAACACAAGTAGACTTCTCATCCCATTGAATATTTTGAAGCTCATTTTTCATATCTAGTTCATGTCCGGTGACACTGATCGCTAGGGGTGGGCGAGTACTCGAGTAGTTAAAGATACTCGTGACTCGAGTCGAGTAGTAAACGTTAAGCCGATTTCGTTATTTTCATTGATATTTGACAAATAAGTAACAAGAAAGGAAAATGTTTGAGTTTTATTTAATCCCTTAACCCCTTTAAATATTGACATAACGAACGCCAACTAATAATCGGCAACCTAGATATTGCTTGCGTCATCCATTTCACTGACAGCGACAGCTGACACTGGGTAGGTAGGCCTAGTGGTGTGCGAGTGCAATGCATCGAATCCCGATTCGATCCAGCATGCATCGAAATCCCGATGCATCGATTACGTCACGATACAGTTCTAAAAAGGGATGTGTCGATTATCGTCATCGATACCACCGATACTTGGACATTGGTATCGGTTCGGTACCAAGACTCGATTGTCAAAAGTCAATTCCGATGATACCGACACCCGAAAGGGATAAATATTTTATTTTAACATTTATTTACTTTATAGCTACAGTATTAGTTTTGTAATCACGGTTAACAATTTTCATAGCCAACTTAAAAACTATCTAGTTCAAAACAGTGGCGGTGCCGGTGACAATGTTTAGCTTAAGCCACAGCCACCTCTAATACAAGGCCGCGGAGAGCGAAAAGTGGTCCGTGTCTTGGTGCGCGGTCGTCTTACCATTACAGTGAATGGAGAAGTCGCGTACTCTACGTACATAATCGCGTTTCTACTACCCTTAATCATTAGTAATGACATTGAACTTGTTACTACAGCATGCCAGATAGATGTGACGTGCCTGGATGCAAAAATAATTACGAAAGCTCAATTAAAAATTAATAATACGTACAGTGTTCTAAGATTCTAAGTGATCCGCCGCTTAAGCAACAATGGCTTCCTGCTATTCTTCGGTAAAATAAGACATCTTAAAACAATTAATTCTCGTTTATGTGTGAAACATTTTCACGAATATGAACTTAGATTTGTAAAAAAATTTAAGAATAAGACAATGATTCATGTAAATATAGACGCGAGAAGCGAGTTTTAGGTACGAGAATGCCGTATTTCCTTATTTGTCTATCTTATTGATAAAAGCTGTTGTTAAGTGATTAAAATAACTGAAATAACTTGCACTTCACAGAAATAAACCGGTGTTTCTATTAAGTAGCCCTACTAGTAAAAAATATTTACTATACCATCTAACAATAAAAGCATCATAGTCTCCGACTCCAGTCTGAATGTTGATGTGATAAAACAATTCTATTAATATTGTGGAAAGCCATATAGAGGCCTAGCTTCTGAAATCGTTTACAAAATGAAAAACGTTTTGCTTAGTAGCTATTCAAATAAAATAAATTATTTATAGTGTCAGTATGCCTTAAAAGTAAAAACTTCAAATTTTGTTGTTGCTAACTAATGGTTTCCTCAGGTAGACTTAAACATAATATTCCCATTGAAAATTGAAAATTAATTTTATTTGAACAAATTGTTAGAAGTTAGTACAATCTCAAATCCTCTACAATTATTGAAGTGGCAATAAGTTAGTCCTACTGTATTACCATTCTTGGTATAGTAGCTATATTTTGTAAAATTTAAGCTCAGTCTGTCTATGAGTTTTTACTATGTTGAATAACATACATATATACAGACACCATGAGATTCTTATGTATAAATAAAAAAAAAAATTGAAATCTTACTACACATTGTAGTCTGCTGTTGAACAAAGAATAATATAAACCCATCCTCTTCAAAAAAAGTAATCCCCATCCATGTGTTCATAAAAAGTAAACTTTTGTGAAATTTTAAAAGTTTGTTTAAACCTAATTATGATAATTGTTGTATAGGTTGTTTCTTATAATATTAATAGAAAATTTTATGGCTATTAAAGATTATGATAATATAGATTATCAAATAAACAAAGGAAATATGTAAAGTCCATCTATTTCCACATTTATCGTACTTAAAATATGTTAAATGCAACCAAAAACATTATGTTTGTATTTTAGTTTTAGACATATTGTGGTATGTTGCAATTTTTCACTAAATAAAAAAACCTAAATTCTAATATGTCTATTTTACCATACCCTTAAATCCACTAAAATATGTAATTTAAATACTTTCATTCATTGATACAGAGCAGCAATACTCTCATTGATGTTTATAGCCTAGCACAAATGCCGGACGTAGGCGGCGGGTGAGTGCGGCGTTGCCAGTTCGAACGTCGCGCCCTTGTATTAGAGGTGGCTGTGCTTCAGCTCATTGCACAACACAATCTACATTTCAAGATGTCGGACTCAACTTTAGAGACAACCGGCGCGCGAATGTTCTACCAACACGAAATTAATTATACTAAACAATGTCTGTATCAATAAGTCAGACATTTAGATGTATTATTTCTTATTTTTAGTACAAAATAAGTAACCTAAACACGTCGAAATGTTCAGTTTCCTCCCTGCAATATTCAACCATTAAACTTTAACATCGTCATCGTCGTATGGTTAGGCTTGCTTTATATTGCGCCAAAAAGTAGATCCATATTTTATCTGTACTATCTACCTGATTAAAAAGTTAGGGAAGTTTTAAGTGCTACTATAACATAACATAATGTATTTATTGAAAAATATCATAAGCCTTAGTCCATGTCGATTTTGTAATGTTATAACGAATGGTGAATGTTGACAATAAAAGTATGTAACAACAATTCTCATTGGTCAAGAGGGACAATGCACTGTCATGTCAGCCAATCGACTTTCGTGTTTCAATGGAGCTAGGGCATAGGCACGTGAAGACAGAATAAACTAGAACGCAAAACTGGCAACAGCGCATGCGAGAAGTAGGGGGGACAAACACACTGCTCAAGCGCTACAACGCATTAGTGGCATCCTGTCCACACACTGTTGATATATACCAAATTGCAGCATGGTGCCACCATTAAAAACTAGAGTGTTTGGTGTTAAAATGGAGTGTTCATTAGAATTATTGATGTACACAAGGTTTTGGTACCTTCCTTCATCCACTGGTGGCCGCAGTTTGAAAGATGCCACAATTTGGTGTTTGCGAGTATTCGGTAAAGACCCGTATGTGTGTGTGTGTCCGTGTGTCTGGATGTGTACAGAGCTAGAGACCACACCTGTGGTCCGATTTTGATGAAATTTGGTATGTGGGTACTGATCCATCTCCAGGCGTTTTTTCATTTTTTTGGAAATTTAGATTTTTAATGTTAATTTTCCTATAAAAACCCATAAAATAACGGAAAAATCTGATTTTCTCAAAAATAGCCTGAACGATTTTGATAAAAATATATTATGTTTGAACCCTTTAAATTCTGAACAAAATGGTACAAATCCCATTTCTGTAAAAATTACGGTTCAAAAGTTATTGCAAATTATGTTATTTTCCCATAAAAACCCTATAAAATAACAAAAAATAGGTTTTTAGAAAAAAGCCGGTTTTGATTTAACATAGTATGTTATGGTCCTTTCCAGACGTTTTTTTTAATTTTTTTTAAATTTTGATTTTTAATGGGGATTTATAACTCCTACAACCCCATAAAAAACGGAAAAATCAGATGTTCTCGAAAATGGCCCGAACGATTTTGATAAAAATTTAGTATGATATAGTCCTTTAAATTCTGAACAAAATGGTACAAATCCCATTACCGTAAAAATTACGGTTCAAAAGTTATTGTAACTTATGTTGTTTTCCCATAAAAAACCATAAAATAAATAAAAAATTGGATGTTTGGAGAAAAGCTGGTTTTGATCAAAATTAATATGCTATGGTTTTATAATTAAAAAAAAGTACACCATCCCATTGCTGTAACAATAACGGTTCAAAAGTTATTGCAACTTTTGTGTTTTTTAAGGGGGTTGGCACACCAAAAAGTTTTTTTTTCCAAAAATGATTTTATACTGCAATTTTGTAGCCTGAAATTTCCAGTTTCCAACGTTATACAACAGTAAGTAAGTTATTGACCCTAAATATGATTTTTTAAGAGTATGTCAGCTGTTTTCCAGCCGGGGCAGAGGACAGTTTGATTTTTATTTTTGTATATTTTAAGTCTATCAAACAAATTTTTTTTCAAATTGATTTTTTATTACCATTTTGTAGCCTGAATTTTCTTGTTCCAACTATGTGCATTGCACATTGTGCAACAATAAGTAAACTGTGGACCCTATTCTAGTATAAACATTATTTTTATAAGAGTATGTTAGCTGTTTTTTAGCTGGGACAGAGCCTTCCGTATTTTGTGGTTTTCCAAAAGTAAATTTTGTTTAGCACATATATTCCTTTTTCTCAATAACCGCTAAAGATATCAATTTGATTTTTTTTTGTGCTTATAAAAGTTGCCTAGATTCATAATTGGAATGAATAAAAACATCACAATTACAAACAGTAAAAATAAAAAATAAATTCTAAACAACTGAAAAGGTTATATTTTTTACATTCC